TGCGTTTGATAAACAAAGCATCAACACTTGGTCTAATTCCGAAACCTGAATTAGGAATTCAATTTGGATCGGGAGGTACTTGATCCATCCCTCACCACTGCAACAACCAAACAGGATATCCGACATTTAATCTCTCGAGCTCATCTCTTCCTTAAAGAAACTTGCACTCGGTTATTGATGATTGAAAGTGAAGGAATTACAGCAAATGTACCAAGGGAGCAATAGCGTACTGATTTTATTGCAAGAATCATTCAAGAAGTTGGAATGATAAGGAAGGTAATTTGCTATTGCTGTTGAAGGAAACTTTGTTAGTAAATGGTTTATTGTTAATCATTCATGAAACCCGATCAGGACGATTTGCCAACTACGCGGGTAATCCGAAATTCTCGCCAACTTGGTATATAATCGGAGTCAGATCTTAAATTTGCTAAAATTCTAATTATTCCGTTTAAGTACGATAAACATTTGTATCCGGGGGTCTTCAAGCGAAACAAAAAATTGATAGAACATGAATCAAAGCGAAACAAAAAATTTAAAGAAAATGATTGCAGGTTATTATTTCTTAAAAACATTGACATACAATCTTTATATCCAGATAATAATTTGGCAAAAGATTTAATTCAAAAATAAATATTGTAAGAAATTATTATATACAATATTAAAGGAAAAATAAAAAAAAATTAATGCTGATAATTAAATTTTAATCGAAACAAAATTATAAAAATAAATTACCTTAAAAAAAAGTATTATCAAAAAAAAAATTTTTTTTGGAATTTTATTGACATTTCAATGTTGTCGTGGACCATAATCCTCCAGCTATGAGAAAAATGACAATTATTTATTTTTCGCAAAAAAAGAATTTTTTTTTTTAGTTTGAATGCTGTGTATAGAACATTCGTGATACCAAAAATCTTACATTTTTTCATGTATTTATCGATTAACCCTTTTGATCCCTAATTCCTTGAGCTTTACCCATCGGACTATAATATGGTCCACGAATTTCTGTTTGTCCCAATTTTCTTGATTTAGATTCCCTTGCCGGGTTAACAATCCACTATGGGTTTTATTTTGAATGGCAGAATTAACAAATTTGCGAGGATCGTATAGAAAACAAGTATGGTATGGTGACCGATGTATGTATGTATGGTGACAAATGTATGGTGTATGCTTAAGAATGTACGGTATTTTATTCATACATACATACATCATTTATATATAACAAAAAGGTGTTTGATAAATATACATGTATAGGAAAAACCGTCAAAACTACCATAAATTTGTCATAATTCATGCATACATCGGTCACCATACCATACTTGTTTTCGTTACCCCATTTGCGAGATGAAAATTTGGTAGTTGAATCAGATTGAGCGAACGGACTTTGTGATTAAAGACATTACAGCGTTTTGTTACAAGGAAGAAACCAACTTTTCGTAAAATTTAATTATTGCAACGTTTAAGTGCGCTTTTAGTGTGAGAATACAATCACGTGAGAGACCGAAGTGACGTATGAATTATAATTTAATTTATTTATTCTTTTTTATTACAAAAATTTAGCTAAATATAGTTATGCAAGAATTTTTTGATATAATATAATATATAGAAAAGCTATAAAATATGCAAAAATATATAATTTTGAATGAAATATTTTGCAAACAATCTTCAAGGGGAAAGGATTTTCTTTCAATCCAAAATGATTTTAATCCTGTTTTTTATTTTATAAAAAATGAGGTTGGAATATATATAAAAAAAAAAAAAAATAACGTCTAAAAACTTACGGCAATTTCGATCCGTCGTACTAGGTTAAAGTTTACGACATGACCCTTTCTCTATTATCAATTATATTTTGAAAGCTTTCTCGTTTAGCATGAAGCAAACGGTAAACTGATTTGATAGAACCAATAGCCATTCCAGAAACTTTTGCGATATCATCAATAGGGATCCCACCATGAGAAATTTCAGATGCATAATGAATACAAACAGCAGCGATGGTATTTTGATTTCTACCAGTAAGTAAACCTAAATCATCGGTTCGCTTGCTTAATCTTGTGGCGGTGATTTGAAGATCTCTCGGTAAGTTTAAACTCTGAGAAAATCTAATCATTAAATCTTCAGAAGTCATTTGTCCAACATTCAATACCAAATTTTGATGTAATATTTTATAACATCTTGCAATCTCTCTTATAGAAACTTGTGATGAAAAGCAAATTTCTCTAAAAGATCTCGCAACTTTTTTAACCCTACATGCGATAAAAATGCATGCGGAGAAAATTGCCAATTTATTTTTCCCACGAAATAATCTTTCCTCAATTGACCTTTTGTATAATTGTTTTGTCGTATCCGAAATTTCTTTTGTTAAATTCATTGAACCACACAATGCTTCAATTTCCGAGAATGCATGTTTTAATGTCATATCAAATTCACTAGTTGTTGCTTTAATATGTGCTCTAGTTAAACCTATGCGACCCTTTGGTGAAATATTTGTATTCAAAGCTGAATCCTTCAATAATGGGTCTGCTGCTGCACCAACTCGAGAAGGATCCGAACCATTATCATCGCCGCTAAACGTACGCCATTCAGGTCTTGTGTCGATAATACGATCTGCAAGGACTAAACCGCAATCTCCACAAACTATATCTCCACTCGAGTATTCTTCAATCAAATTTGCTTGAGAATTTCTACATTCTGGACATATCAAACGAACATTCAAATCTGGAAGAAATACTTTTGACGTAGAGTTATCATTTACCAAAGGTTTTTTGTTTGGAAACGGAGTGCGAAACATCATTTTTTTTTTTAAAAAAGGAAAAAAAAAAAATGTCGAGAGAAATATAGAGAGAGAATGATTGAAATTGAAATCAAAAGTAGTTCACCAGATCTTTATATATACTTCACTTTTAATTAAATGACATAATTACCACGCGTGGATTTTTGGTGAAAATAAGTAAATTACGTACCTTACGCAGCAAAAATTTGTGTAAATCATTACCAAAATTAATACCGCTTTTGTTGATAAATATAGTTTCCAGTTTCCAAAGCTTTTGTTTCTTAAATACCATTGTTTCTGAATATAGTTGGTATAGTTGATTGTATATATTTAAGTATAAAATACAAAAATTTATATTCGATTGTATTTATTGATATTTCCAAATTATTTATCCTCAAAAAAATATATTTCATTGTTATTATCACCGTTTTCGAATTAGTGTGATCAGGTGATTTGTCGATCAATTAAAAAAAACTATAAAAATTAAACACTTGAAAAGATAAAAAAAAAAGTAATATTAAAACACAAAAATTTTTTCGTTCTCATTATTGATAAAATAAAAAATCCTTTCCAAAAAATTGAATAATTTCTCTAGTAATTTAAACACCAAATATTTCTAAGAATTATAAAACGAAAACTGTTTGCAAAGCAATAATTTCCACCAAATCGACGAGTCACCAAACGTAAATCCATCCATGAATTCATTTATCAAAAATTTTTTCAAAAGATAATTTTAACTAATATAAAATACACCTTATTTTTTTGAAACCCTAAAGAAAAATCTTTTTTCCAGCTGAAAGGTTTAATTATTAATCTATCCTTTTAAAATTTTATTATTTTTGAATTTTACAGTAATTATATAGTATGAACTCGCTTAAACCAAATGTATAGTACATCATGTACTGCACACTAGGGAATGGGAACCGTTGTGCGTCCGAAGCGAATAAGCAAAAATAATAATCTTATTTTTTTTATTATTATCACATGCAAATATTGATTGTTACACCTGGTCCCGAAATTTGCTTGGGCATTTTCGCATAGTGACAGACAGACATTGCATGGTCTTGAGTGTACATAATATTCCTCCGCTACGCTTCGGACAATAACTCGATTTACAAAAAAAAAACCTTGGATTAGATCAGAAATAAAAAAACTTTATCATGATAAATGAATGTTTTCAAGTCCATCCATAATATCTTATCAGAATCAGCCTCTTGGGATAATCCATCTACCAACTAAAAATGCAAAATTTATGAATAAAAAAAATAAAATTATATCTCGAACATTTTCTTTGGATAATATGAATTGAAATAGTTACTTGTTTGGACGATAGAACTTTATCAGAATCAGGAGATTTTTGTTGAATTTATGTACCCTTTCCATTAATATTTATTATTGTGGTAAGTATTTAAGTTAAAAAAATTGAAAAGTAGTATTTTATATATAAAACTTGATTTTAGGCTGTATTTTCAGCACCGTGGCGCAGCTACGAATCGGGCAATTATAAAAACAATACTCACCCGATTTATAGCTGTGCCCGACATCAAAAAAAGTTCTATATATTAAAAACCACTGTCTATTAAGCTTAAAAGCATAGCTTAAAGAAACGTCTAAACTATATTAGAACTGAAATTTATAAAGTTAAGGTACGTGCCACCAGCTTTTCAACATTCTTTTTATTATGCTAAAAAGATTTGCCCTATTTATTTTAATGTGATTACCCAACATAAACTTTATAAAATTTGCCTTATATTATCTCTTTAGCCTAATCTATTGTAATTATAATTTTGACATGATTCAAAATCACGTGGAGACGAAAATTTAACTTTGATAAATTTATAGAGTATTACTAATTATACTTGATGATTAATACGGTTATATATGAAGCTCCGCATTTAGTATCGAATATAGAATAATTTGACAAACACAGTATTGTTAGTAGCGTTGTATTCAATTTTTTCGCATATATTAATAAACCATTTTAAATGTAAGCAGAAGATATTTTATTAATTCGAAATAGTGTAAATATGATGCAAAAATTATTTAATAAAATTAATTAATCAAGATGTTGCACTCGCTCTTCACTTCTGAATTAAATGTATTAACTCAATTAATGCTAATCAATTTATTAAAGATAAATAAATAAATTATCGAAGTTATAAGGTTATAACGAAAAAAAATAATAAAGTTAAAAAACAACGAAAACGAAAGTGAAACAACTTAAAAAAACGTAAAGTGCTAGAAAGCAAAACTTGGGAGTATCCAGGACACAAAATTATATTTTTGCTTAAAATATATGCTTCCAACTTTGCTTTAATATAAGATGAAATTTAATTCTAAACTTATATTCGCATTGAATTAAATCGTCTTGCTTTGTATACTCAGAAATGTAAAAGGTTTTATTTATTTTTAATACTTTAAATCTTTATATTATATATATTAAATATCATTTTTTTTTTTAAAAAAAAAAAAATAAAGGAAGGATCAGGAATTATTGCTTTGGGCCAAGTGTACATAGACTCGTTATGAATCATATGATTTACTATGTTCGTAAACTCGATTTTAATAGCAAACTCCCATATGACAAGCTCCAAAGCGAGCGTGATAGTATTCAAGAAAAAGAAACAAGCTAACGAAGCATTGGTTCCAGGATCGCCTGAGCTATTTGTACTGTACATGTTCATATTTTCATTTTCTGATCCATAAGGCACGTGAACATCCGTGGTGTCAAGTAGTAGAAGAATACACAAACAAAACTTGTGGATCTTATGGTTATATCCATAAAATCGAGGCGGATCCAAGGTGTTTTGTTATCCCTATGCAAAATAAATCTTGACAGAGATACCAATGGTGCGTTTCAATATACTCCTTCAATACTTTACAAAAAATGAAGTCAGCACTGACGTGGATGCCTACTCCCTTACAGGAATTGTTATTACCTAATTTAGACTTTACTTAATGTGGAATTTATTAGAAATGATAGGTTTTAATTTAATGTAGGTGTTTTATAAGAAACCGAATATATTTTTTTGAATCGTGGAATCGTACTATCACATGATCAACTGTAAAGTTTGCTTCATCGAGATATATATATTATTTATTTATTTAAAATTTATAATTGATGAATAAAACATAAAAAAATTATTTATTGTAATACTTCTAATGTCAGATATACTTGCTCTAACCATTTTTGCCATTCTTCAACTTCATTTATTTGTATTATTCTATTTTTTTATTTTTTTTTTTTGTCTCTTCCTCCCTATACGGATCAGCGGAATCGTATAGTAAAAATTATTTTTAATTTGCAATGATATTTGATGCAAGTATTTCATTAAAATTTTATTTTCGTTTCTAAAATAACCGATAACATATCTTATTTCTATATGGATATTTTGTTTATTCTAATTAGCAAAAAATATTCTACGATTATAAGGTCATTATTTTCAGGGTAAGATTTCTCCACCTGAAAAAAATTGTCGAATGATGAAAATAAAAGTCTCAAGTTTTTGACAATTAAAATAAAATCCTACTTCAGACCTGATAAAATTTACTAAAAAAGTAATTTCAATTAATTTATAAAGTTACAAATACGGCCCCAGTGCCATGCAAGAAATTTTTAATAAATATTTTATAAACCAATTTTTAATTATACATTAATTAAGTGTACAATTACAGCAGCATGATATTTATGTCTTTATAGATAATATTTTATACATATTTAATAATAAAAAAGAAAGATGAAATGTTTTATGAAGTAACTCATTCTAAACTCGATCTAATAAACATCATACTCTTAAACTTATTTTGTAATTAAAATATTAATAATATTTTGAACAATTGATATAATTTAAATTTAGATTAGTAAAAATTTTATTTTAAAAAAATTTTTTGAATTTTTCTTTAATGTTACACTAATCGCGTTATTTATTCAATTAAGGATTTATTAACTTATTATGGATTCAACTTCGATAACTAATGCCAATAGAATAGTTGACATTTTAGGCTTGTCTTATCAACAAAAATGGTTATGCACGGTTATAAGGCAACATATTGTATCGACGCTATGAGCTATATTGGAGGCCGATACAATAATTTATCAATAATTATAAATAAGCTTTTTCTGATTAATTTTTTTTTTTAATTTTCCTTTAAAAATTTAAATAGCTCGAATTTTATAATTAGATAGAGTAGATACCATTTCAACGTGAATTTAATTCATTCATTTTACTTTATTTCTATAAAGTGGTAAACGCGTCTATTCCGAAACACCAAACTCGAAATCACGGATACCAAATTCGATACCTATTGGTGTTACAAAAAGCAATTTGGAAGAAATTTTCAACTGTGAACAACGTGATGCAATGTGATAAATAACCATCAAATATCTTTATAACACTAACGTCAAACCCGATTAATTCTAACCTCACGTTATATTTATAATAGTTTATATGTCATAAACAGTATTTAATTTAATCAAAATTTATTTATTTTTAAAGATAATTGGAAAATGATAATATAGGGACGTATCTAGTGGACTCAGGAGACGTAACTATATCATTTCGTATACGGATCTCATAAATAAAGTTCACATATTAAAATTTCGCAAAAATAATTATTCACAACATTCTGCTTGCACTTAGCTAAAGATACTGTAAGATATATTAAAATTAATAAAATGTTACAAGGTCTTAGTGTTATTCGAAAAATTCTCTATTTAATTAGAAGCGATAGAATAGGTTAAAAAAGTTGTTTTATGATAGATCAAATTTATAAATAATTTTCATAAAATTTAAATAGTAAATTTAAATCGGCTTAATATTCTGAATTACTATATTTTCTTCAAATTCCAATTCAATATGCTCTTTGATTATAGGTTGTTGAATTATAACTATCAGGGATTTGTTGCCCATGACCATAAGTAATTATTTCTCGACCATTATTGTTCACACTCTGAACAGTAATTGCAACAGCTTCATTGCCATAATTCCCTCCAGTTCCAGGCGTTGGTATTGCTGCTTGAGTTTCTTTTCTATTTTTATTCCATTGATATACAAAAGAACCCCCAAATGATAGTAAAATACCACCGACCAATGATCCTATAGCTATGCCAATTATAGCTAATGTTGGTAATGTGTCTTTTGAAGAAGCTACTGGCGGATTCTTTGAAGAATTAGTTGGTAGAGTTTTTGTAGAAGAATCATTTGTTGAAACATTTGAATTAGATGTTGGAACTAATGGATCAAAAATATTAGTCCAAATATATTCTTCATTATTGCTAATATCAAGTAATAAAATATCATTGTCAATTTTTGGATCATAACCTTCTCCTATTAATTTAAATATTTATTTTAGTAATTACTTATATTATGAATAAATACATAATAACAAGTATTATTTACCAAATGATATAACCATATATTTTCCAATTACGTTTGCTTCATGCCAATGTCTGGAACTTGGAATTTTCCCAAGAATTTTTGGAATGTACCATTCGTAATTTATTAAATCTAATACATAAAGTGAATCTCGGGATTCAACAATGCCTCCAAAAATTATTACATGCTGCCTATCCAATCCTTGTTTAGCAAACATAATTGTAATGTGATTAACTGGTATTAATTTATTTCGTTAACACTTTTAAAAGAATAATTACCAAGAACAGCAGAAATAGCATCTCTATCAGAAGGAATTGTGCCCGAAGGTATCTAATTTAGTTAATAAATTAGTTAAAATATGCTTATATCATAAAACAATATAATGTTATAAACTTACTTTAATACTCCAACTATCGTTAATCGTATCATATATGTAGACCTAAGCTTTATTAATAAATAATTATTCTTTCTTTTAATATATATATTTAAATCACTTTACCTCTTTTAATGATGCGAGTGCTATATTATTAGAGCCACCTTAAATTACAAATATTTAAAATATTTAGTAAATTTAAACAGTATATATACATATTCATTATGAGATTTATTTGTTACCTACCTAAGTAAAGAATTAGCTGATTTGATAATAAAGTTGCACCATAAACTACCCGTGGAGAAGGCGCATTAATCGAACTTCCTAATTCCCAATTCAAGTTCATTGTATCTAAAATAAGCATATCATTTACAATAATTTTTTTAGATTGTCCGCCGAACAAATACATTTTGCCATTATAATCAACAATGCCTTTTAAATTATCTTTTCTAATAATAATGTCACCAGGTATTTCTGAAATCCATGAATTTTTTTGAATATCAAATGCATAAACCAAATCCATTGCTGCATTATTATAAGGAATTCCTCCATATAAAATCAAGGTTTTATTATTTGAACCACCCTTAACGGATGCTGCAGCGGCATGTGCTGGAACCGTATTAGTGCTTGTTAAATCATTCCATAATATATTTTGCGTATTGAATGGAACAGAGACATCAAGATAAAAAAATTCTATGCCAATTTTTATATCAACTTTATTTGTTCCACCTAAAATGTATAATTTATCATCTATGAGTGTAGCTGTATGACTGCTTCGTTGTGTTGGCTTAAAAGAAGTCGTTTGGCAACCTACTTCAATTAATAATTGAATTAAAAGCCATAATATGATTGAATATTTTTTTAACATAGTATGCTAAAGAAATTACAGTAAAAAGTTAATTTGTTAAAAAAAAAAATATCTTGTAATTAATATTTTTTATTTGATGCATTCATATTTGTTACATTAAAATATTTTGTAATGATGTACACAAAAAGATTTTATTGGTTGCTCTAAATTTCGATGACGATTATTTTCACTTCACATATACTGTATGTATATGACAATTTCTCGACAAACGCAATATAATTATCTCTTAAATAATAGCTAAAATTAAAAATTATTATTATTTGAATAATAAAGATTTTGACTTGTATTTAATTAGTGGTTAAAATAACCGAATATCCGGTGTTAGTCGCAAATCGTACTGCGCCTCAAATGACCTCCACACTGCGGCGATTGTCACGTAAATTGTATTACTTTCGTACAATAGAAAGGATACACCAATTTGGAATCCCAATTAAAACTTTATAATTCTGTAATGTAACAAAACTATTACGCATAGTGATCAGACATATAATGTTCATGCGTGTAAAAAGTATAATTTTTCGTAAATTGTCTTTAAAGTGTAATCATGTCAAAGAACATTTCAATATATATCATTTTGTGGTTTTTAGTTCAATTATTAATTGAAGTAAATTGCCAAACTACTCCATTTAATCCATCACAACGACGAGGTCACACTGCTACATTTATTGATAGTAAAATATATATCTTAGGTGGTACATATGTGAATTCTGTAAAAATTGGGACTGAATTTTTTTATCTTGATGTCTCTATTCCATTTAATACGCAAAATATATTATGGCATGATTTAACAAGTATTAATATAGTTCCATGGCATAGTTCTGCTGCATCTGTTAGTGGTGGTGCAAATAATAAAACATTATTTTTGTATGGAGGATATAACATTAATAATGAAGTAAAAATGTCTTTAGCTTATACATTTGATACACAAAGCAATTCATGGAGTATTCCAAAAATAGCAGGTAACGATGTTCTTAGAAAAGATAATCTAAAAGGCATCGTTGATGATAATGGGAAAATGTATTTATTTGGTGGAAATTCTAATGGCACTATCCTAAATGAAATGCTTATATTAGATACAATAAATTTGAAATGGGAAATAGGAACTACAGTTAATGCGCCTTCTCCAAGATGTGTTTATGGCGCAGTTTACGTCCCAAAACAGTTCATTGTTTATTTAGGTGGTTAT